TTAATAACTCTGTCACCGTGGCAATCGGAATAACAATGTCGATCATATTGACAATTACACTGATAAAATGAATTCTCATCACTGAAACGGTAGGCGTCAGCTGGACGCATGTGCAACCAGACAGCAAATGTAGGGTGGTTCTCTCAATGATGGTTGATCACTTAACTAATTGTCTTGGTTGTCCTTCTGCTTTACTCCCATGATGATGACGATGAGAACTGTGATACATGGTGGAGATGGATGACCGTAAGGAATTGAATGTGACAGTAAGATTGGGATTATGTGTGAAGGTGTGAGTGAGATTGAGAAATTGTATTAAGTATGAGTATGTGTGTTTGTATGTCCTTCATGTGTTTTGCGTTTGTTGGGGAGAATGCGTATTTACAGTGTTTCCGAAGATACTGGTTGAGTGATTGTTGATCACTAAGAATTTGAGGTGAAGATACGTATATAATGAACTGATTAATAGTGGATTGAGCTGTATTGTATTCATGTATGTTAATTCACCAGTAATTTTTGTGAGTAATCGCGTGGCAGCTATTCGTTGAACTATTAGTGAAATGAAAACTGCTATCGTGAAACCCACACTATTAGTACCAGTAGGTAGCTATTACCAATACTGGAGGGAAAAAACAATCGCAATGAGAACATTTTTCCCTTTGATTAATTCACCAATTAAAGTCATTATTTCTGAATGTACGACAAACGGTGAGAAAAGTTTAGGACTACCTGCCATCACGGGTCATTACGCTTAGCGTGTCGGAGTTTCCGTGGTAGAATGCTTGACTACCACGACAGTGACCCGGATTCAGTTACCAGCCGACAGAATCCTTAAACTTGCTTAGATGGTAGTAAGGTCAATAAACAAAGAAGTTTAGGCATCAGGCTAGAAACCTCATCCCGTAAAAAATACCCACAGATACTGAAAATACAGAGCTTAGTGTTAAAACTCCATGTTCCCCTCAGAAATCAGATGAAGGAGAAAAATATGTCGGTGGATCATGAACTGAAATCACGCAATGCAAATAAGGAATAAAATGAGAAAATCAACCGGAAATTCGGATAATAAATATAATTAATTTCTGAGGATTTTATTTAGAAAGTAGAAACTTAGGCATGTTTTACTGAAACACATACTTAGTCATTATGGACACGTACATCAGAATATGATGTGAGATATACATCGGACGAACCTAGCAAGGAACCAGAAACAGCAGAAATGAACACTATGTAGCATTTGTGTTCGAACACTGAGAAATCCAGTTGAACTAGAAAAGCTGAAAAATCATCCACCATAGGTCATCCACACGCTACGCCACAGAATCAGGTCACAAAATTGATTTTGACAATATTGAAGTAATCCAGAAAAAATTCAGAAATCACTAAGAAAGTCTGATATCAGAAGGACTTCTTATCAATTGGAATCCAGATTGTCTGAATAGGAATGATGAAATAAAACAGAATTTGACCTGGACGATTTAACAACGAAAAATGACCCCATACTGAGAACGATGATTAAGTTGTTAAAATAAGCTGAGATTTTGTGAATTCTGGTTTAATAATACTTTGATAAAGCTATTAGCAGCATTCAATAGCGAAACGTCAGTTAAAACAACATCGTTTTGTTTTTCATTCACTAGGAAATCGAAAAAAAACTTTTATAATAATGAATATCATATGCCCAATACCCAAATTTTTTCAAACTGTTAAAAGGTAACTTGGTCTGGTCATATATAACGGATATTAGAAGTTGTCAAAATTGAACCTGAACAAAACCAACTGAATTCATACAAGTTCTGTATTGTGAGACAGAAATCAGTCTGTAATGTGTTACCATTTCCTCAAAATGTGTGTTTCGTTGTCAGATTATTGATCTTTTCTGTCGTTAACATACACTAAGATTATTAATCAGTTATTTTCTCGTTTTGTATGTCCAAATAAGCTCTGAAAAAGACAGAAAATAAGGGTGTTTATACACCAAGTTATAGAGTGTAGACGTTTACATTGTTTACAATGAATGAATTTTGAGTCTAAACATCATTCCTCAAATATTTCTAATTACTTTCAGATTGCCTCATAAATGAACTAGGAGATTCATTCTAATTTCAGAACGTAAACATTTTATGGCACTTCTTTCTCACAAGATGATGAAGAAGACAGATGATATGATGGTGAAGTCTCTTTTTCTTTTATAAAATCTAACCTTAGAGAGCAATAAAACCGTCTGAATGGTATTCTCCATCAGTGTCTGAGTTCTCTGCTTACAATAAAAAAATATACGTCTATTTAAATTTAAATAAGATACAAACTTTATAACCGATTAACTATCATTTATAGACTGACTGGATCAATAACCTGTAATGATTGTCAGGTCAAATACATAGGTCAAAGTAGTAGAACAGGGGCAGTCAGACTAGACGAGCATAAAAATCTAAACCCGAATAAGAAATCTAGAGAATAGTCCACCTATAGCCCTACAAGCAATTACACACACCTTACAATAAGGTGGATGGATAAGATGACAGTTTTATTTATTTATTTATTTAAACGCACAAAAACTTGGTACAATATGGCACCATGAAGGATGCGCCACACAATAATAAAACAACATAGATCAAAAGAAAAAAAGAAAAGAGAAAAAAAATATATAAGTAGAGAATGGATAAAGAACTTCATCTGGAAGGAAAACAGTCATGCTTAACAAGATCAAACAGTATTCGTTAACTATCATCGGGAAGGAAAGAAAGAAGGAAATTGCAACACGTGTAATAGCACGCGATAAGTTTCATTGATTATTTGTTGCTTTATTCAATTCATTGTGTGAGGGCTGAGATACTGCCCGGGCGCCCAGACCGAAGCAGGTGGTTTTATCAAGGGACCAACCCCCGAGCCTTTGACTTGGAGTCTAATCCGCAAGGCAGCGGAGCAGCATCCATTTCCATGGTTGCCGGTGACCCATATGGGTTCATACGCCATGTGATCCATTGGATACTGGAGCCTATGTACCCCATGGTAACTGCTTTTAGTTTAACCGCTATCCAAACAACCTTCCTGACATGGTAGGACCTGCAGGGACAGAGTCCCAGTCAGTTTAGCATGTTGGGTCATTACGGTATTCCAGCCCGACCACCACGACAAGGTAGCAGTTATCGGCAGGGTAGTTTTAAAATTAATGTCACAAGGTGGAGGGAAAGATTGATAACAGAAGCTTTGTTTATCGAATCAAGTGCAAATACGTGTAATAGGAATGATTCAACACGTGTCCACCCAGATATCTGGAAAATTCTACTACCCCTACGACGACAAATAGGAGAGAACTAAGAAAACAATAAAACTCAAGTTTCGAAGTCGTGTGATTATAATCCATGATATGATTATGAACAATAAATTTTGTTCGAAACGTCATCCAGTAAATAATACTGTTTCCCTCACTGTGTGATATATCTAATAAACAAACTAATATGGAATTACTTACTACCACAGTGCCCAAATTTTACACATGTATGAATCCAATAATGTGTTCAACATACCTACTGCTTTCAGTTATGGATTTTGCATACGTTTTGATAAAAGAGAATATTTTTTCCTCGAAGTAATTACCTTCCAGCTAAAAAGAAGAGATTCATCTATACGTAAACAATTTTGTGCTGACCGGTACTGATTGTCTGACAAGCAAAAATAAAATAATATTGAATACAATACAAAACAATTTAATTTAGTACACACATTCACATTTACAAACGCCTAATGTCATTCGCTTTCCTTGGACAACATGAAGTAAAGAATTAACATTTAACCGATATTGAATCAATACCCTGAACTGACATTTCATAAAGTAATGTTTTGGACGCCAGATATTCGCTTTCCTTTTGGAACTGTAGTTGAACTGAAAGAAAGAGAAGAGGAGAACATGTTTATTACTTCACTAATAGATAAAACTGGCATATTAAGATGAATAGTTTTGTGTTCTGATATAAAAGATTCAGTTATTCGTTTATATCTCTCCGACTGGATATAGTCATCACTGAGTTCTAAGGTGAATCAACTGTGTGTGTGTGTATGTGCGTGTCTGATGTAGTACAACAAGATTGTTAATTGTTCCATATTTTGGACAAATTTTTTCAATCTCAAAGACAAAGACATACTTTACTAAGCTTAAAACCATTATACACACGTGTGCAACGACGTATGCACGCAAACATCCTTGTGTAAACTTGTGTATATAGGTGAATACTTTTATTTGTTCCTTGTTTTCATACTAGCTATTATTGGGCACATCTATTAGCATTTACTCTACAGCCCCCTCATTCTTCATCACTCTAGTACACCCCCCCCCTTATTAAGGTAATTTTGTTGTATGCATTTTTTGTTTCAACGAATACAATCAAATGGAGGAGGCTTGAAGTTCCAGTTTCAATTTTCTGTGTGTATATTAAATGGTATAGGGAAGGATATGTGCCTTTTATACACTATTCTCTATACAAGGTTGGACAAAAGACAGGTCGAAACTATCAAATTTGAATAACCTTGAAAGCAAATATCTTTGAAGGATAAAAATGTATTAATTTTTTTTTTGTAGGCTGATGTAAAAAAAGAATAAGCCTAGAGATTCATCGCTTATTTATTTGTTTGTTTGTTTTTAGCTTACTAATAGGCCTGTTGTACATATTTGTCCACTATTATGTGTACTGGCACACTTGAATTACGAAACTAAGCCTGTGTGTGTGTGTGTGAATCGGTGCAGATGGATAGATAGATAGAGGGGGAGTGAGTGAGTGAATGAGGTAGGTAGGTAGGTAGGTGATGCCTACATAAATATGCATTGGCTGGTATTGGACACAGATTTTATATATTCATAGGCACAATATCTGTTAAGCAGAATTAGGCAATAATAATCATAATCATAATAAGCAGTAAACTGTCTTTTAACTCTCTCTTTTTTTAACAAAAAAATAATAAGTAATCAAAATCAACACTAACAATAATATTAGTAAGGTGTAATGGGTGCTCTATTCTTAGAGCCCCATAAACAGACTAAATTCAAGGTGTCTGTATCACACTTTATGAATTCCACTTGTCGGATTCCTACTAATCGATTCTACGTATATCTAGTCGGATTTGTGGGAATATTTCTCTTATGCTGTAATCCTGTGAATGCTCTCCTGGGCAGATTACAAACAGCACCTCAGGGTAAGTACTATTATTATTACTAATTCTTATTTATTGGTGTTTGTGTGTGTGCGTGCTTGTGTATTTTTAAAATGATGCATCCACTTTTTTGTCATTTATTCAATGTTCTTGGTTAAACTGTCATTTATGAAAGTCACAAAAAGTACCCATTTATTCATAAGTAAAAACACAGTTTTTTGTTCAGTGAGAAATTTCTTTTCATCGACTTCATTTTCAAGCTGTACAGTCGTATTTATATTAAAGAAAAAGTTATTAACTGACACTAAATAATTGCTCAGTGAATATACATATATTAGTGATAAGTGCGTCGGTGGCACAGTGGTTAGGACACTAGTCGACCATGCACATGGTCCGGGGTTCGATCGCCGACCGACGCACTCCTTTACTTCGCCAAACCAGTAATAAAACGCCGGTAAATAGCAAAGGTTGGGCATGAGGCTAGCAACCTCATCCTGTAAAAATAAATACTGCTACAGAAACTTCAAGCCACTAGCTTGAGGCCCTATATTCCACTGGGAACGTGAAGGAATCGGTTAGTGATAAGCATAACGATAATTAAAATGTTATACGGGGTATAGTTGAAAAGGATGGATTACAAAATTATTAAAGATTGTTTTATAAGTGAATTTATACCAAAAATATTTTAAAAAAAATTGTCAAGCGTTGTCTAAAATTTAAAAAAAAATTAGGAGTACGATTACGATAAGAATAAAGATGTAAAGCGAAGTGGAATGAATTCAAGTGGTAAAATAAAATAAAAACTAGAAAGAACATTACTATGACCAAGGTAAAGAAAGTGGTTTGACAAAACGTTTTCGAACACATAATTTAGGTTTCTGTTCATGTATAGCTAAAGCTTCGGCTATGCATAAGTGAAGAAAACGTAAACTTTTGGAGTGATTCAATCTTGCCATGTAGATAACCTTGAAGAATGAATCACGTGGGGCTAAATAACCAGACTGTAACAGGTGATCACAATTAGATGTTCTACGTTCGCCTTTCGTTAACCAAACCGGATAGTGTTCAGCTACACGTTTTCGGAGAGTACGCTTACAACGTCCAATATAATCAGCTCCACAGGAGCAGGTAAAAGAGTAAATGCACATAGATGTGGACACAAGCTCGAAAATGAAGTCGTTGAAAAGAAATTTATGAAAGTGACGGTTTAAAGCAAATAAATATTGGATTTGTTTTAAAGTACTATTTACCTACAGTCAGAAGGGCTTTTGAGGTTTTCAATAATAACTATTTATTTTGCTATAATATAGAAATCGTCACCAATGTGTATTAGTTAGAGGATCGCTGGAGTATTAATCAAATTCCGATTAAACGAAATTTGAGTATTTGCCAGTTAACCTATTTCCATTACTCTAGGTGTATTCTAGTTTTGACATGGGTTTTTTTATCCTTCACGTTCCAAGTGAACATAGGGCTTCAGGCTAGAGGCCTAAGGTTTCTGTAGGTGTGGTGTTTATTTTTACGGGATAAGGTTGCTAGCCTCATGCCCAACCTTCCCTCTGTACTAGTATTATTACTGGCTTAGCGAGGTAAAGGAGTGCGTCATGTGCGAATCGAACTCCGGACCACCTGCATGGTTGGCGAGCGTCCTAACCGTTGTGCCACGACATGGTTATTTACTGTTATTTTTAACGTGTCTTCACTACAGCTCATTGGGACTACTTGAGTTATGTATATCATAACTGTATAAAGATCCCTGATAGCTTGAAAATACCTTCCGTGAGGTAGGATAATTACTTACCTCTTTCTAACTGTCAACCGTCTGATTAAAGTTCGTAATCACCAGTTCACTACTCCCCTGTAGTATTTCTAAGTCAGTCAAGTGAATTATAACAAGCAACTTTATGATTCATGTAAAATAGTTAGATAAGCCGAGATCGAACCTTCACAGGATACCCTAAACGTTTAAATAGTAAAATTCAAAAGAATTACGAGTGAAACAGACTATTATAAAAGTTAATTTCAGTCGATTCTTCCCTCAAGCTGAGAAAATGCTGATAAACATTTGAAGTGATTATGAATTGCTAGGTAATGCTTGATTTTATTTTACCACAAGTAAAATTAAAGTAACTTATCTATCATTATATAACAGTATCAGTTTCAGTGAGATTCCCTTAATTTAAGTTAGGGAAAAGTAGTATAACGTATAAATTCTGCATAGTTATTGTCTTCACAGTATCTTTTAATAATAAAGCCTTATTTGAAACAATATGTGAACATGTACCGCAGAAATAATCAGAGTATTTAGTTCTAAAATATTCCCTCTTCATGCAGTGTTTACTTATAAAGTAATTATCTGAAGTATATTATGTGACTCAGCGTTGCTGTATATTAGAAGACAGTCAATTCTGTAAGGTTTTTCTTCATTTCTCCCCAGAGTTGCACAGCGTCTAGTGGAAGCCAACTATATAGGCGCGCGAGTTTATGTAGAGTCTGTATGGTATAATTAAAAGAATAAGAAACGCAGAAGACTTCAGGCATTTTAATGAATGAGAATTCCGGTAGCCCAGTGATTTAAACAGGATGCCATGTTGTCGACTAGTATTACTTAGCTTATTGTTCAAGTCCTGTAAGTGCAAAAGTTTTAATTTCAGCTTTTGTCAACTTCTTATCAAAGTAACATCAGGCAGACAAAACAAGTCTGCCTTAGTCGTATCAATCACCAGAGTAAGTAAGAATGACTAGTAGATTTTTGAATGTATCTAGTATCTTATGAGTTTTGCTGACGGGACCTAGAGAACATGCGTTATATGGTTCAGAAAGTGTTCATTATCAATATCGTTCAAGTCGTTTTGAGAAAATAAGTAATTCTGAGTATACGCGATAAATATTACAGTTGTAATACGCAAATTTAAGAGTATAATACAACTAGTCAACGTATGTTTATTCACGGCTGGAGTTGCTGAAGATCACTGATGATGACAACAAACCTCATCAGTACTTTTCTTTTCTCTTCTGCATCATTTAAGTAAAGTTATCTTGTTTTGAAGAACTAATAGCCGCTAATAAACTGATGTATGTTTTCGTCGTGATTTCTAGTAGAAATCAATAGTGGTGCAGACTCTGCAAGGATCTCATAGAATTTGAATTTCTTTCTACCTAGACGTGTTAAGCAGCGGGACAGTTCTGTTACTCCTCACGTAATATGTATGATAATCGAATTATTTGTGTATATATATCCACATAATGTGATTAGATCAGTTATTCAGTGAATAATCAAGTCTGGAACTTATTCAGAGGAAATTTGAAAACCTAAATGATCACAGAAGACATTCAGTGAAATGGTCTTTCTGCATATAACCTTGATCACAAAACGTAACGTTAAATGAGCTAACATAAGACTCTTGAACAAGAGCTATGTTTAACCAATGGTATGCAGAGTATATTTTGCATATTCTGCTTTCATACGTAGATAAATAACGTAATAATAGTAGTAATAACTTTATTCTGAAAAATATGTTAATATATATGACAGAATTCTCAGTATGTTCTATTGCAAAGTATCTATTCCTATTACAGAATCTTCAGGTATATTGATAATCCGTAATATCTCATATGCCAAAGCACGGTCTAAGAACCTGTACTGCTTTTTCATAATTTCCTTTAAAAAATTCATAGTAGTGGGTTGAAGCCTGTTTCAAAATAGGTATGAGTATAGATTGCAATTCAAAGATGTAAATGGATAATTAAAATAACATGAAATAGAGCAAATAAGATGCATTTTAATAGATGGATAGTTAGGTAGCCCGTTGATTTAAACAAACCACCAGTGATAGTCAGATAACAGTTACACTATAAGTATAAAAAGACTTTTCAGTTCACCTTCATGTATTGTTCAAAACTTGATTAATCTGTTTCATAAAACTTAACCTTTGGAAAAAAGAAGGAAAAACTTAAATTGATGGCAACGTTCTTAAAGTGTCAGTATGTGGAAGTGGTATAAAGAAGAGAGCTTAAGAAATTCCCCGGGTGTATTACGGTTCTGAATATGACCCGTAGTTCGAAAACATTAAGCCTAGTTTTCAGATGTGGTCGGCTAAAATGGAATTACATTCTCAATAGATGACTTTCTTGTTCAGGATGAATCAGTTTCATCGACAGGCTCTGAGGACTAGTTTATCTGAAAAGTTAGTTGAAGTATTTAGATTACCTAGATCTAGCTGACTGATCTAGATAAAATGGTATACATTTGAGAATAGTGTACTCATTCAGTACCTATATACTGTCATTGAGTGAAGACATATGAGATAAAAAGTGATAAAATGTGGACGACCAATGGGAACTGAGCACTTTATCAAAAGTTAAGGAAAGTTGTTTCAATGAAGAGAGTTTAAATTAAAAATTTAAAAACAAAACAAATGTGTTTAAAATTATGATTCACACACTGAAACTAATGCATCTGTGATATTTCTCGCATTAAAAGTTTTAGAATGATAAAGTAATAAGTATGCGGGATTTTGTTATCAACTGTTATTACTTATTACTCTACAATAATAAGCTTTCTATCTTGTAATTCAACTTTATTTATATGTGAGTTCAGTTTTAAGGTAAAAATACACTAAGATGACAATTTGAGTATCTTTACTTCAACACTAGTATGTTTAATCCACACATCCATCAGCTAAAGTGCTTAACGTATTATCAGTTAAGTCAGCATGACTGTAAAAATGGAGTAACGCATTTATCACACGTGAAACTTCAGAAGTTAGTCTCCAAGTCACCGTAAACCTGGGATTTGTTCTTTTTGATACTCACAGATAAAAGAGATCAGATATTTCTACAAATTAACTCACAATATCTTATGTCAGATCACGGTGTAGTACATTATACTGTCACTCGGCTTATCATTTAACCGTGTCATACCTAATCTGCATTTAGAATGCAAAATAGTATCATTACTTTCGACCATCCAGAAAAACTGAAATACAAAATGAACATTTTGCAACAGAAGTATTCTCCAAGCTACTGCTGATACGTTCAGC